AATTATCCTCATAGAGTTTTTCTTAGAAACATGTGAGAAAGTCTCATTGTAATCAATGCCTTCTTTTTGAGTGAACCCATTGGCAACAAGTCTAGCCTTATGTCGTTCTACCTTTCTTTTACAGTCTCTTTTGGTCTTATAGACCCATTTACAGCTGACTATTGTGGCACCAAGAGGTAGTTCAACTAAATTCCAAACATTTTTTTTTATCCATTGAGTTCAACTCTTCTTTCATGGCATCATACCAGTTGGAGGAATTCAAACTATTCATGGCTTGTGAGAAAGTAGTTGGATCATCACACTTTCCAATATCAAAATCAGACTTTTGAAGGTACACAATACAATCTGATGGAATTGCAAATTTCTTAACCCTTGATGACCTCCTTAAAGTTTCTTCTAGTCTTGCTACACGTGAAGGTGAAACAAGCTTCTTAGTGACAGTGGGTTCAGTTACAGATGGTGCATTAATAGTTAACTCATCCTCAATCAAATTATTATGAATAACGGGATGAGGAATCATTACCAACTCATCTGAACTTTGCATAGAAATTGGATGTTCCTCAAAAATAATATTTTATTTTTGAGGTTGTATACTCCCACTGACTTGGTCATTTTCAATAAATTTTGCATTCCGTGTCTCTACAGTCCGTAGAGAATGATCAGGACAATAAAATATGTATCCCTTGGACTTCTCTAGATAACCAATAAAATAGCCACATATGATTTTATGGTCCAACTTTTTCTCTTGGGGGTTATACACCCAAGCTTCAACTTGACAACCCCAGATGTGTAGATGTGCTAAATTGAGTTTTCTACTTGTCCATAACTTAAAATGTATTTTAGGGACAACCTTAGTAAGAACATTATTTAGAATGTACAAAACAGTTTTCAAGGCATCAACCCAAAAAGAGGCTGGGAGAGTGGAGTAACTAATCATACTCATAACTATATCCATTAGTGTTCGATTTTGCCTTTTTACTACTCCATTTTGATCAGGAGTACCTGAAATAGTATATTGTGCCACTATACCTTGTTCCTGAAGGAATCGAGAAAATGGACATAAGTGTTGTCCGGATTCAGTATACTTACCATAATACTCACCACCCCTATCCGATCTCTCGGTTTTGATCTTTTTGTCAAGCTGTAGCTCTACTTCTGTTTTAAAAAACTTGAAAGCATCTAAGGTTTGGTCCTTATAAAACAAGAGGTACAAACAACTGTATCGTGAGAAATCATCTATAAAAGTGATAAAATATTTATGGCCTGTAAAATATGGGGGCGTGAATAGCCCACAAATATCTGTAAGTATGATATCCAACACATTCAAGTTTCTTATGACACATTTCTTGAACTTTTTAGTCTGTTTACCCTTAATACAGTCTATACAAGTGTCAAAACCTATGAATCCAAGACTTGGTAAGATCTCATTGTTTACCTATCCCTTAATTCTCCTTGTGGAGATGTGTCTTAATCTCCTATGCCATAAAATGGAAGAATTTTCATTCAAAATTTCATGTTTTAATCCACAATGTTCTTTATCATGCAGGGATAACAAGAGATGTTGTAAAAGATGTATCTAGAGATAATTTAAATAAACCATCTTCTAAAATACCATTACCAACCACAACATCATTCAAACACAAACTAACAGATGAAGGTCCAAACATAACACAATAACCAAAAGAAACAAGTTTAGATGCTAATAAAAGGTTTCTAGAAAAGCTAGGAACATAGAAAGTGTCATGCAAATATATGATGTGATCAGTTTTTAGAACAAGTATGAACATCCCAATAGCTTCTACACGTGACCGCATCTTATTTCTCATAACGATGCACCATTCACTTTCTATTGGGACCCTTTTGTTTAGCAATTCCAGCATGGTGTTACATATATGGACATTTGCACCAAAGTCAATCCACCATGTGTTATGAGGTACATTTACGAAATTTGATTCATAACACACTAAAGAAAGAAATGTACCTTTCTTCTTGAGCCATTTCTTATACTTTATGTAGTCTTTCTTTGCATGTCCCTTTTTCTTGCAGAAGAAACATTTGAAGTCCTTTTTGTTTGTCAATTTGGCTGACATCTTCATGTTCTTTTTTTTAATTGGAACATGGTAGTTGCTACTACCTGTTTCCACCTGTTCTTTCCCTTTATAAGAGGTCAAATGGACACTTTCTTGCCTATCTTGCTTTAGTCTCTATTCTTCATCAACACATATGGTCAAAAGTTGATTCATAGACCATTTATCCTTATGTGTGTTGTAAGAGATCTTAAATGGAGCATACTCCGAAAGTAGAGTATTAATGACAAAGTGGACAAGAAATGTCTTTGACATGTCAACTTCCAGTGATTTGAGTTGGGCAGAAATGTCACATAATTTCATAATGTACTCTCGTATGTCACTGTGACCACTATACTTCAAAGAAACAAACTTTGGTATCAAGGTGTTAGCAAGTGCCTTTTCAGAGCTCACAAATTATTCCTCAACTACAGTCATAATTCTTTAGCAGTTTTGGAGTCCGGAATGGAGCCTTTGATCTTCCTTAAGATATGACTTTGCATGAGTAAGAGACTAAGGCGGTTAGACCTCTCCCACTTCTCATGCATCTTTTTCTCCTCAGGCGTACTGAATTCTGTAGGGATAGGTGGCCTATCCTCATGAAGCGTTGTATCAATCTCCATACACCCCAAAGTAAAGATATTTCTATCTTTTCATTTCGAGAAATTTGAACCATTAAGCAAAGGGATATGAGATACAAATTGAGACATAAGACTAGGAAGTAAAGCTGCAAAATAAAAATTACATGCTTACAATTAATATGCATGCTAATAATCAAGCTTAAACTTTATCCAAATTACTAACTTATATTAGCAATTTTAGCGATATATTACTTTATACAATATTATAATAATTTACCTAACGATGAAACTAACCGTATTAAACATCATAAAAAAGTAGAATTCAAAGACCTTTTGGTAACAAGAATTCAACTTGGCCACAACAATTCAAACCATTCTTTCACCCCACCAATGACTTATGATATAATAGCTTCCCTTTGGGGTAAAACTATTATTTAATATGGTGCAAGTGTTTAATGTCATGGATAAACACAAATTTTTTTATTGATAAATTTTCTTATATTTTAAAATTATGGGATGCTTTGGCTCGTCACCATAAAATAAAAATAAGTTTATAAAAAATAAGTTTTCATTCACAAGATGTTTTGACTCGTCATTATGTATAGAATACTCTGAATCATGACATATGAACAAATAATTTTATCCATATGAGTCCAATAATTAAAAAACAATTTATTTTGGTCATAATTGGATTCGAATAAACTTTATGATCGAAGTATCACAAACTAATTGTGAACAACATCATGAACTAGGATAAATCTATCCATAAATAACACAACTCACATTAATTCCGGTGCACATAATGCATAGAAATCAAAACTATTTTAAAAAATCATGCTTTGACTTTTCAAAGTCTATCAATCAAAGCTTTCAATTTTTTTGTGCAGCAGTAAGAATTTAACAAATATTATCTCTTCAATTGACAAAATGTCATATGCCATACTAAAAAATTTAACAATAAAATGATACTCATTCATCATGCTTTTGTCCACTAAGTAGTTCACACGCAATCAAAAACAAACAGAGGTCGATCAAAGCAATTAATATTGCATCCTAAACTGTGCCGACGACAACAATTTATGGATAGTCCATGTGTGAACGATAACAATCAGCAAAAAACGAAATATGTTTGCACAATTTCGATATCAGGAATCGTAAAAATTTGATAACTCATAAAATTTTCTTCTCTCAAATTGATCATACGAATAAAATAAATTCTAATAATTAAATCCCATGACCAAACTCTGATACCAATTGATAGATCTAATGGTCTTAAATGGATCAAATATAAAACTAACCTTACCTCACGGAATTCATAACAATGATTCTTGATAGACATATGCAGCGAAAATCTCCATGCGGAGAATACCAATAATACCGAATATTATCTCGAACTAGATTCCCAATGGATTACAGATAGGTTTTTTCAGAGAGTGAGAGATACTACTGTAAGCGTGAATAAGAGATGGAGTCTCTCAGGTAATTTATATCCCCTTCACTGGTAACCAACTGCCTCAAGTTAAAATAATCAATAATCGTTCCCTCCCATCAAGGTAACTGTCAAAAAACTGACTATTTGTTAAACATATTTTCTTGTACCTAGGACACCACTTTCACAAGGAAATTACACACTAACCTAACCAACATGTGTTAGGTATTTTAATTAGGATATCCTTGTCCCAAAATTCAAGTTGTTAATTAAGGACCACATGTAGGTCCCATTAAATAGCTCCAATATATTTTTTTTTCAATTTTTTTTGGGCACATCATCTGTCATGGATTCAAATGAAACTCATTGTATACAATGAATCTCTCACTCATTAATAGTGGACCTTCGCTCATTAATGGTGGATAATGTGAAATGATAAAAATATCATTTCATCCTCCTCAACATCATGAACCCCGACAACTTGATTCAGTGGTAGATCAAGGTGCAATGCATAAATTTACACATCCTGCTTTTGAATTCCACTAGTCGCATAAAGTTCAGTTTAACCGTTGTATGTAGTTTCCAAGCAATTTCATTTTAAAATTTTGTGTTGCACCAATGAGTTCAAAGGGTCTGTATTTGAAACAATTTGTCATTACCACATATTTTTCTTAATCTGAAACTAAATATGCATCGTTTGCATCTTTTGTTCTTGTACAACATGCTTACGTCAAAACCACAAGAATAATTTCCATGATAAACACTTGAGGATTTTTTTTTTTTTTTTTGGTTTTGAGAAAATTATTGAATTGTTGAAATTATATACTTTGAATATTATAATTAAGTCCGACCTTGAGAGTCTATCAGCGTTTCTTCGACCCAAAATCAGTTGACAATAAGTTAAAGATCCACAAGACTTGTACAATTATTTAAGAGTCTCTGAAGTATAAACATCGGACAAACTATAACACCCGCTCACACATGAACAAAGTGCTCGATGACACAAAAAAAAGAAAAATGGAAAACTAACAAATAATCCCATCCTATAAAAAATAATGAACTTTGTTTTTTCATGTATACTCCAAGTAATTGGTACCCTAATCGTACCTTAGCATTCTTTTAACTCATCCCCTAATAATTTACATAGCAAAAAAGTAACATCATAATTTTTTTTAACACCAAAAAACTATTATGCACAATGAACAAGAAACTCTCCTATAAGAATCGACCTAACCTTTCATGGGGCGTTTTCCATGAGGATCGTATAATCTTGGGCTTGTAAAGGTTGCAGTGCTCGCAGTGGCACTGGTGGAGGAACCAAACGTACGAGAACTGGATTCACTGGAAGTTCCGGCAGTAGAGGATGATGCTGCGGTGGCCCTTCGCGATCTTCTATACCTTGTACCAGGGTATCCAGGTCGAGTTGGTTCTTCAAGGATGGCTGGCCTCTTTGATAGCATCACCACCACACGACGCATGGTGGGTCGTAACTGTGGATCGGATTGGGTGCAAAGCAACCCAATCTGTATACACAATGCTACCTGATCAGGAACTGCTGATGATGCCAATATAGAGTCCATAATATCCAAGCTCCTACCTTTCTTGTAAAGCTTATATGCCTGCAACATGTACCAAGGATGAGTTTTGGTGTTCCTTTACATGATAAAGGCATAATGTGGAATTAGTTCGGAATAGACCCCAACATAAATTGGTATGCTATTTGTGCTAGTTAGAATGTAGGACTGTAGGAGTACTTCCCACAGTTAGACACAAAATAGCATGAAATGATATAGACTCAATACTCCAAAATCACTCAATAATCTGATCAAAGCAGCTAGCAAATGACTACTTCATCTGATCAAGTACCTTATAGAGGTTACATAACAGCCAGAAACCCTTCGGCAAATGTGTGGCAACAATGTCACCAATTAGATGACGACTAATCAGAAACAGACAAGGGAGGAATAGTTTTTATGTTACAGATATGGCAATGGTACTGACAAGCAATTTTTTCGGAGAAGGCAATGAATGGTAAAGGGTTGACAAGTCAGACTCGACACCTTACCAAATTCCACCAGTCTTTCACTTGGAACATTGCCTGTCATTAATTTTCCAACCCACTACTCAATGCAGTTGAAAAATGACCAAGTGAAGCAACATTTCAACCACTTTGGATAGTATTAACCCAACTTTCAAGAAGGAAGCAGTCTAAAGTTACAGTTCAATCTTCCAAAACAATTGCCCTATTCACTGTACCAGTCCTCCATATCTCGTGCATTGCCCAAAACGCATAAATCATATACGCAGAAGAATTAACAAAACTTAAAAGACCCTCAATAGAATTTTCCCCAGTTCAATGGTGTGAAGTATTGGGTCTTATCAGTTCATGGTGAACTTGGTCATCGAAAGCCGGAGAACAAAACACACCTGATGTTAGTTAGTTATACAGCAAGAAAAGTGGTGTGTGGTGGTGGTGGTTTTTTCTGCCGCCGGGGGGGGGGGGGGTCATCCATATAAATAAATTTTGATTAATGCAAATGGGACAAGTTTTTACCCATTCAAGTAGATCCTGGGAATCAGGATCCAGGTTAAATGTTGAGTTCTTCTGTCCGCTGATCAGCTCCAGAACCAAAACCCCAAAGCTAAATACGTCTGCCTTCGTGGATAAATGGCCATGCATGACATATTCTGGCGCCATGTAGCCACTGTTTACAAGTTGAAGCATCCATTAGATACCTTGCAATCAAGTCCCGACCACTTGGATCGACATAATCACCAACTCAAATGGCTTAAACTAACAGTGAAAGAATCTGAATGCATTATGGAGCTGGGCAACGTACTTGGTACCAGCTACACGGGTGTGAACATATGTTTGATCTTCAGGAGAGAGCCGTGCCATGCCAAAATCTGCAATCTTGGGCACCCACTTATTGTCTAAAAGGATATTGCTGGCCTTGATGTCACGGTGGATGATGGGAACATGCGAGTCTTCATGAAGGTAAAGCAAGCCACGAGCAATGCCAACTATTATGTCATTCCTCTGCTTCCAATCTAGTGAATCTCGTCTGCCAGACTCTAAATCAAGGCCATCACAATCAACATTAGTATCACTATTAATGTCATCGTTCATTCCATTCAAACTTTCAACTCTAATTAACGTGCATTTAACCACACACAACATCGTCACCTATCGTGTTGAAATGGTGGTGGATACCCACCAAATTGTGTTGGAAATAGTCCAAACATTAATATTAAGCACTTAAGATTTTTTGGGGCACACAAATTCTAAAAGAGGATGGTCAAGGTTATGGGATGAAATCCCCAAAAAAGGGTCTAGCATATTAGATTGTGGTAAAAGGAATTCCAAATATATAATGGTCAATGGTGATGGACACTGATTCCTTAGCGAATAAATATGATCATGAAGCAGGATACTGACTGTGGCACTATATTTTGGTATAATTTAAGCAGGACACAAAAAAGTAAAAGCGATCACTACAAAAATATACAAAGATCTATTCCAGTCAGCCCTCAATTAATCTAAAGGAAAAGCCAGTAATGAAGGTAACATCTTGGATATCTCATACCTAGGGTTTGAACAAGCACTCTATCTAATAATGTGCTGAGCTCTGGATTCCTTTATTGCTTTTAAATAATAATGTGGTAACAGCTAGGAGGTTGATTAAATCTCAAGATAAACAGGTGAAAAAACATAGCAAACAACACCAAGACGTTAGCTACTAGGAATTTTTGTCACTCCACTCCGACAAACCATAAACTTGATTTTCAAATCATGCATTATACAGCAAATAAAGCAACTATCAGTTTGGTGGTGCTGATTATACAATTGGATACAATTTTGAAAAAAAAAAACCAGTTTTCCCTATGACAATTCTTAGAGACATGCTGAAACCATTTGGTTGTTTAAATACAAGAACATATATAACAAAGTTCACAGGTCCTCAAGAGTTGAGTGGATGATATATAACATAGGTCGAGATTGAACTTCAAGACCCAGACTGAATGTAGGAAATCTTAATACATCTGCCCAAAAATATCAACCAACATAGCAACTAAATGGATTGATATTTAGGAAGTAACAAGGAATTGGGTGCTACAACCCATTGGGGGTTCTTCAATTTCTAAAAGTAAGCTCACCACCTTTGAAACTATCCAAAAAGTATAACCAGGTTTTCATTAATTACTACTTTTCCTTGCTTCATGAACTCGAAAAGAATCAAGTACAAAAAAGAGATAAAAATAAATAACTTACTGAAGAGAAGCTTGTCAAGGCTCTCATTAGCCACATACTCGTACACAAGTAGCTTCTCTGCATCATGCACACAGTACCCCAACAACTTCACCACATTTCGGTGCTGCACCCGAGCCAACAGCTTCACCTCATTCAGGAACTCTTTCTTTCCCTGATTTGAGCTATGAGACAAGTTCTTCACTGCAATTTCCCTCCCATCATCCAACTTCCCCTACATATTCAAATACCCAACTACCATATTCATGACCAGGGATACAATTCACATATGTTTCTCAACGGCTTCTGAATGTTGATCAACCATTTTCGTTACAAGGCACGAGATCATCAATAATTTGCAAGATTTTGTCGACCCAATCCGTTATAAGACTCAATTTCAATGACTCAATGACAAGATTGGGTATATATATCATTAATTCATATTAGCTTCAACTATTTGATCGATCAACCCAATACATTATAGGACTCAATTTCAATGACCCAAAACAAAATTCAGGTAAATATGATTGATTTATATCATCTCCAACAATTTCATAGTTTTTGATAAAACCCAAATCAGAAAAAGACAACTTTGAGACTTACCTTGTGAACAGGGCCAAAACCGCCTTCACCAAGCTTGTTACTGGAATGAAAATCTTTGGTAGCTGAAACTAAGGTTTCAAAAGGAAATAGCTTCTGCTCTTGCGCAGCAATTCTTTCCAAGTCTTCTTCCTCTGTCCCCTCTGATTCATCAATAACAAACCCACAACAGACCAATGCACAGAATGATCAAAAAAAACAAAGCTTGTACAAGTTCTATGTATAGTTGAGATTGTAAGAAGAGATAAATACCTCCATTGAACTGGAACTTGAAGGGTTTGAGGAGTTTTACAAGGAAGTTCTTGGTTTTGGTCATAGTTGGCTGTTTACTAATCCATAGCAAGATTGATTGGAACAAATTGGTGAAACTGGTTTGGTTTTCGGGTATGGCTTTTTGATGAATAAAAAAAATAAAACATTATCATGACTTTGAGGTCAATGACGTCTACGAAATAGCTGAGGTATGTATAAGGAAATAGAGCGTGTAGAAGTCATGTGGAAAGAGATGGCGGCCTTCTCATTCACCTTCTCAAAATCCAGTGAGGCAAGTCAAAGGTGTTTTCATATGATTCCAACTGTTTGGCTCCAAACAAACAAAACAAAAAACGAGAATTATACTCAGACCCTCTAATATTTAAAATATGGTATACAAATTTCCCAAAACTTATACACAAGTAATATTTAGACCTCTACTATCAGTATATTCAATAATAAATTACACTCGAATCTTCTAAAATTTATAAACGTGTAATATTTAGATTTTTTAAATTCAATCAAAGATAAAATATTAAATATTTTAAATTTTACAACCAAAATTACGTTCTATGACATTTATTGAAATAAAAATTTAATTTTTTTCTTAAAAAATCATAATTATTATGTAATTATATTATCTATTTTGAAAACTACATTAACAAGAATATTATTGTTATTGATTAACGGTAGTTGGTGTAAACAAAATGTCAAATTTATCCTCATATATTTTGTTGTATATCTTAACAACCAAATTCACCCAAACAACAATATTGAACTCGACGGGGATGCAATTCACCAAGCTAGGGTAAGCAAAGCTCTTCGGTTCTATCGAATCATGAATGCGAAGACCTTTCCTTCAAATAGAGATGGAAGGAAAAAAGAGTTTTACTATTGACCAACCCTTTTTTTTTTTTTTTTGTTTGAAGTGAACCAAATAAAGAATGAAATACAAAAAATACTTGTTACACGAAGCCATGGGTATATGGCTTCGTGTGACAGCATTGAAGGGTTAAAATCACCGACCTTGACAATTTGTTGCATTTGGTTTGTCGTTTTTTTTTTTTTATTATCAATTTTATCAATTCTCTTTTTATTCTCACCTTTTCTCCTCGTTGTCTTAAATCCGTTGAATTTTCCTGCATACCAGTTACATCGTATGATGTGTCATTGAAATTTTTAAAAAATAAATAAATAAATTGTGCAGTGAAAATATAAGAAACTTGAAAGTTGTGTTATTATAATTTAGGGTTAATCTCATTTTATACCTCGAAAGATCGTTCGAATCTCAATTTACACCCTTAAAGATTAAAAATCTCAATTTACACCCTCAAATATAGAAAATTGTATCAAAATATTACCTCTACATCTCATGACGTTTGTACATGTGTAAATATAACCACTTTTCATTGATATCTATTAATATAATCGTTAAAAAATATGATTTTATCCTAATAAAAAATTATAATTTCATATTACCCTTTATTTTGTGGATTCGATATACTCTAAAGTTCAAAATCAAGTTTACCATTTGAATGTCTAATAGAATGTAGATATTTATAAAAAGGAAAATATGAAAAACATTATATAAATATCTACATTTTATTAGACATTCAAATGGTAAGTTTGATTTTGAACTTTAGAGTACATTAGACCCATAAAATAAGGGTAATATAAAATTATAATTTTTATTAGGATAAAATTATATTTTTTAACAGTTATATTAACAGATATCAATGAAAATGAGTTACATGTTGTACGTGCATAAATGTCATGAGATGTAGGAGTAATATTCTAAATGTAAAGAGGTCCAAATGATTAAGTGATAAACATGAGAGAATCTAGGTATAATTTATCAATTTAGTTTTAGGTGCATAATGATATAAATTTCTATATTTAAGAGTGCAAATTGAGATTTTTTATCTTTGAGATGCACATTGATATAAATTTCTATCTTTGAAGGTGCAAATTGAGATTTTTTATCTTTGGGGGTGCACATTGATACAAATTTCTATCTTTGAGGGTGTAAATTGAGATTTTTGATCTTTGGGGGTACACATTGAGATTCGAAATATCTTTCGGGGTATAAAATGAGATTAACCCTATAATTTATCCAAAAACTAAGAGTTTTTGCGTGTTTGACCGGATTAACATTAAAAACTTTTTTCTCAAAAATTGGTCTGATAGGCAAACGAAAATATTCCACCAAGTGTTCTCTTTTTCCCTTGTGTCACATGGTACTATGTTATTTAGTATGATACCATTGACTTGGGTAGGCTGAATTAGACCTAAGGCAATGTTTATTATGCATAGTTTAGATTCAAAAACCGTGTATTTCGACAACTTGATACTATTTTAGAGAAAATTTCACCCATACCTTTCTAGTTTATTCTATTTTTAAGGATATCATTTCTATTATCAAAAACATTACTGACAACTCTTCTAATTTATATTTAAACATCACTAACACCCCTTACCATTAAACTATCATTTATAATAAAACAAATTCATTTAAATACGAAAAATGCCCTTACATAAACCTTAAGTAATTTTTTTATATAAAATTTAATTAAAATTCGAACGGATTAAAATTTAATTTTTTACATATTAAAATTTGAATCAATTAAAATTCAATTGAAGCTGATTAATTTTTATTTTTTTAAAGTATTAAAATTCGAGCTTATTAAAATTTATTTTTTACTTATTAAATTTTGAGCCGATTTAAACTCTACCCGAGTTATCAGCGTCGATTAAAATTTGCTTTTGAGTCGATTAAAATTTATATTTTTTACTTATTAAAATTCGTGTCAATTAAAATTTGATTTATTAAATTTGAGTAAATTAAAATTTATATTTTTTTTATGCATTAAAATTTGGCTGATTAAAATTCAATGCGAGTTGATTAAAAAAAAAATTTAATTGAAACAAATAAAAGCCCAAATTTTTATAAGTAAAAAAATATAATTTTTAATAAGCACAAATTTTAATATGTAAAAAGATAAATTTTAATAACTTGAATCGAATTTTAATTGACCAAAATTTTAATACGTAAAAAGAATTAAAAAAATAGAGGGAGTCTCATTGAAGATATGTTTATTTGAAGGGGGTGTGGATGAAGTTTGTCTTCAAATATATCATAGATAATTTAGTAAAATTGCATTCTAGTTAATATTTTTAATCTGACAGGAGGTGTTAGTAAAGATTCAGCAAATATGATAAACTAGAGAGAATGTGATTGAAATTTTCCCTACTATTTATTACCGTTTTGCACTTCGCTGGTGTAAAATTCATATTACATAATAATGTCTCATCTTTATTAGGGAAGGCAACGATTCTAATGTCTTGGACCTACACGAATTTAAACCGTAGTTTAAAATGAATGTATGTCCTTGCACTTGCAAATCACTTCACAAAACATTTCATATAAGTTGAAGAAAAGAATATTCTCCAAAAAAAAAAAAAAGTTGAAGAAAAGAAAAAGGAATGTTGAAAACTGAATGGAAAAATAGAAAGAAACCTTTGATTGAGTAGAGAAAAGTGTGAAGAGAGAAAGTTAGGTACTAATTAATCACCATGTTAAGGATTCTTTTAAGGCAAAAATGTTTCATTATTAAAGTAAGGGCAGAGATGGAATCAGAATTTTATCTTGAACGAGTGTCGAGTGTAAATAATTAGTTTGGGCTTTAATAAAAAAAATATTTTAATTTATGACAAAATAATACCTTGAAGTTTGTTTTAAATTTTGGTTTGCGAATTTTGCTTTGTTGGCACCCTCATATTAGTGTTAATAGACTTATAGTATTTTGTTACTCAATTTGATCCTTTTTTTTTTGTTAGTTTTCCACCATTATTGGATATAAAACATATTTTTAACTCGTTGTTGTAATAATTTTACTTATTTTTTTTTCGTTGGCCATTAAATTCATCCAAGCAATTATTTTTGTTTATAAAAGCAACACTCATCTATGTGAGTACATCTTCCCTTTTGCTTTTAAATGTCAAATGAATAAATTTTTGAATACACCAAGTAAAATATCCTATATAGAGTTTTTTTTTTCTTAAATAAGGGTAGAATTTTGAAAACAAGAGGGATTAATAAATATTTTTTCAAAATGTGAGGACAGCCCCCTTAGCCACGGTGTAATTAAAAAAAGTTAGACTAAGTTTAACACACTATTGATCAAAACAAATTTATCACATTGAGATGTGGTCACTCAATGAAAAATTAGCATGTCGGATACATAAGTTAATTTTTTTTTTTTCAAACAAATTCTTACAAAGTTATGAATGATAGCTAGATCTATCAATCGTGTCGGGTGAAATGAGTTTGTGCCGGGTTTTAGTGGATTTGTGTAAAAAAAATACTTCATATTACTCGATTCGTTTATTAATTTGTATCTAACGAATTGTGTCATATCGGATATATGTCGTATATAAATTGTGTATAATCGATATATAAATAAATCGTGGTCTTATTTTTACACATTTAAAATTTAAATTTTTATTATTATGGTAATTCTATATCATTTGATCCTTATTTTTAATCTATTTTTTTGGTCGATCTAGCATTATGTATTTTTTTGATTGATTTTACTTATACCCAATTTTTTTATTAATCATATTGTATCGGATCTACTTATTTATAAAACGAGTGACTTGAAAAAAATTCAAACTATCTAGTTTTGTATCGTATTCGTGTCGTGTTATATTTTAATACCCCTAATAATATATTTTCTTAAATACATATAACTTATGATTGACTAAATATATTATTTAATACTGTTAAAATAGTGTGTTAAACCCACACAAAAAATATAGCGTTAGAAAGAAAACAGTTACCTAAATCATTTTTAGCCTCAAAGCGGCACACCACGTATTCTAGTAGAACAGCTGGTGGGAGACGGGCCATGTGGACATTGACAAAGCTGGTTTTTGTTTCTTTCTGTCTGACCAATTTAAACCAACTTACTAGAAGCAAAAAGCAGCGTGTCAGTGATCCATAACTAATTAAAAGAAAAAGTGGAATATGAACGATTTTAAAAAGAATATTAATAATTATTAAATGAGACTATTTAAGACTATTAAATGAATTTATTAAAATTTATTATATTTTATATTATAGATTATAGATTATAGATTGCTGAGGTTGAAAAGAGGTATTGTCACACATGGAGATAAGTCAAAATGCAATTGTTCGGTATAACGGATAAAAAAATACACATTTTATTTAGAAAATAATTTTTTTTT